GTAAAGCTGCCGTCCAGTTGGGTGGGTGTGGAGCACATGACTGTAAAGCTGCCGCCCAGTTGGGTGGGTGTGGGGCACATGACTGTAAAGCTGCCGTCCAGTTGGGTGGGTGTGGAGCACATGACTGTAAAGCTGCCGCCCAGTTGGGTGGGTGTGGAGCACATGACTGTAAAGCTGCCGCCCAGTTAGGTGGGTGTGGGGCACATGACTGTAAAGCTGCCGCCCAGTTGGGTGGGTGTGGAGCACATGACTGTAAAGCTGCCGCCCAGTTGGGTGGGTGTGGAGCACATGACTGTAAAGCTGCCGCCCAGTTGGGTGGGTGTGGAGCACATGACTGTAAAGCTGCCGCCCAGTTGGGTGGGTGTGGAGCACATGACTGTAAAGCTGCCGTCCAGTTGGGTGGGTGTGGAGCACATGACTGTAAAGCTGCCGCCCAGTTGGGTGGGTGTGGGGCACATGACTGTAAAGCTGCCGCCCAGTTGGGTGGGTGTGGAGCACATGACTGTAAAGCTGCCGCCCAGTTGGGTGGGTGTGGGGCACATGACTGTAAAGCTGCCGTCCAGTTGGGTGGGTGTGGAGCACATGACTGTAAAGCTGCCGCCCAGTTGGGTGGGTGTGGGGCACATGACTGTAAAGCTGCCGTCCAGTTGGGTGGGTGTGGAGCACATGACTGTAAAGCTGCCGCCCAGTTGGGTGGGTGTGGAGCACATGACTGTAAAGCTGCCGCCCAGTTAGGTGGGTGTGGGGCACATGACTGTAAAGCTGCCGCCCAGTTGGGTGGGTGTGGAGCACATGACTGTAAAGCTGCCGCCCAGTTGGGTGGGTGTGGAGCACATGACTGTAAAGCTGCCGCCCAGTTGGGTGGGTGTGGAGCACATGACTGTAAAGCTGCCGCCCAGTTGGGTGGGTGTGGAGCACATGATTGTAAAGCTGCCGTCCAGTTGGGTGGGTGTGGAGCACATGACTGTAAAGCTGCCGCCCAGTTGGGTGGGTGTGGGGCACATGACTGTAAAGCTGCCGCCCAGTTGGGTGGGTGTGGAGCACATGACTGTAAAGCTGCCGCCCAGTTGGGTGGGTGTGGAGCAAGACTAGTAACTGTGTGACTCACCATAGATGTAAAGTGCCTTGTATAGTGACTGTTGTGAGCCTCTTATTGATCACCTGTGACACGAAAGATTATCGATGTGTATATGTATTTGTGTAAATGATTGTATATATATATGTACATGCGTATGTAACATTAACAATTGAGTAACTAGTGTCAAAAGATTATCACTTACTTAGCTAAACGAACTATGGGGTTCAGTTCCTGAACCCATTTTTTTTCTACCACAGACGTGGCCACACATTTACATTGCTAACCAGCATATATACATTTTCTTCTGTCCTCCATCTTGAGGTTATCTTGAAATGATTTCGGGGCTTAGTGTCCCCGCGGCCCGGTTTTCGACCAGGCCTCTACCCCTAGGAAGCAGCCCGTAGCAGCTGTCTAACTCCCAGGTACCTATTTGCTGCTTGGTAACATGCATCAGGGTGAAAGAAACATTTTGCCCATTTGTCTCCGCCTGCACCGGGAATCGAACCCGGAACCTCAGGACTACGAATCCGAAGCGCTGTCCACCCAGCTGTTAGACGCCCATGGCTTAGCCGGTCCCTGGACCCTTGAGTCCATAGACAGGGTTAGAGATCAGTTAAACATATAGTTCAGTGATTTATTGAACACTCAACCACGGAAGGTGATTGTAGTGCCTATAGAAGTCTAAGTTAACCTACATACGTAAATACATAGGTACACAGATTTACGTATGCCCTACATAAAGTGTTCGATGTGTCTTTTACATAGTGTCATTAATGTGCATTTACAAAGGTTAAATGTAATTCTGATCAGTTTCCACATATACTTTATACACACACATATACATACACACACATATACATACATATACATATATACAAACATATACATACATATATACACACACATACACATACATTTGTCTCTTTTACTCTGACAGGGTGAGATAGCCGATTGAGAAACTAGTGTGCAATTAAGCACTTAATCTCTGAAGGTGATTAAGGTGCTTTTACAAGCTCAGGTTATATAGTTACATCATATATATACATTGTATAATTGATACATTACATGGTCAATCTTGGATACAAGTCCAATATATCATCAAGTGTTCCAGTACTCATATAGTAACTACAGAGTTCAGCATACCTTAGCCCAGGAGGGCGAAAGTCAGTCAGTATGGGACATTCTACAATATAATGTTCAAGAGAGTGCATGTTTTCTCTTTCACAAAGTTGACACATTGTGTACTCGACATTTGGGTTTTGAGAAAGCTGCCAGATACGTCTATATCCCAGGCGTATTCTGGCCACTATAACATCACATTGCCGGGTTCTTGTTCTATTAGTCCCATATGTGAATGTCTCCTCACGATATCTATCATAATATTTAATGCTACAACTTTCAGGTCTTTGTGAATTTGTTAGGTCGGTGGCATTAATCCGTGCCTCTGTAACCCTTTACACCATCGCCCACGGGATGGGTATGAGGTGTATAATAAACAAAGAAAAAGAAGGATGCAGATATTCAATAGTATCTGGCATCCTCCCTTTGACAGGCATTTGATTTTATGTAAATATTTGATATATTTATATGAAGAGAGTCTTCAAGTTAACACATGATACAGTAGAGTTGTGGCACCTCTTGTGATGGGTAGTGACTCTTACTCCGCTATTGAGACGAACATCAACGTCTTAATATAATATCCACACGGACGTTGATGAGCTCAAATGATAGGAGATCTCTTATAAAGTAGGACTCCTTGTCTAGGGCCTGGCACGGGTGGCTGCCTGGCCTGCGGGAATGTATTACGTTGCAAATATGTTGCTCTGCCAGAGACTGGATTACTTGTTGCTTATTTCTGTATAGTCATACTGGCCTAGTGCTTTCTTCTGGTAATTAATTCACTTTTTAATAGCGTTACTGATTTCTAACGATGATCAGAAAATGTGTTGTTGATTGTGCCTCACATTGACCAGTGTCCATGAGTAATAACGTCCTCTGGCATAGCATATTACACTCAACTTTCTGTCAGTATTTCACACACTGACTTAAGAGGCGGCCAGATGTGCTTAAGAGCAGGGGCCAGATTCACGAAGCAGTTACGCAAGCACTTACGAACCTGTACATCTTTTCTCATTCTTTGGCGGCTTTGTTTACAATTATTAAACAGTTAATGAGCTCCGAAGCACCAGGAGGCTGTTTATAACAATAACAACAGTTGATTGGCAAGTTTTCATGCTTGTAAACTGTTTAATAAATGTAACCAAAGCCGTCAAAGATTGAGGAAAGATGTACACGTTCGTAAGTACTTGAGTAACTGTTTCGTGAATCTGACACAGTGAAGCACACACTGTCCTCTGACAGTGTGTGCTTTACTAGCGATCACTGCTGCTCAAGCTTGCATTCGCTCCATCTTATGGCCTTCCAAATAGGCCAAGGCTTAAATGACCGAGGTCGATTACCCTCGATCCCCTGATGTCAAACAAGCATGTGACGTTGAAGTGGTCATCAGTTGTCCCCCAGACGCAAGCCGCCATAGGCCTCCCTCCTGGTGGTACACTGTTGGCTGACCTCGAAAGTGTTGGCCATGACTGAAGGTGTCTGGCCTCCACCAGCTGCCATCTTGTTTGGCCGAAGTAATATATTCAAATCTAGATACAAACAAACATCAAACTCATGACATAAATCCTGACGAAAGTATACTATTCTCTGGGTGTCGAAGACGGCTGAGTGATGACGTACCATCTTAACACCATTCTTCATCTCTCAGCACTTGCAACATCTCCCAGTACCTTAACACATGAAGGTTCTCCTACACCCTTGAACTATATGTTTAACACATCTCTAACCCTCTCCATGGAGGACAGAAGAAAATGTATATATGCTGGTTAGCATTGTAAATGTCTGGCCACGTCTGTGGTAGAACAAAAAACACCTCCTCCCCTCACACTATAAAATAATTGTAACTTAACCATAGCATTAAATAAACTACGTGCTTGATATAAATAAGAATAATTGTCTTTAAATACATCAGTTACTATGAAGAAGGAGAGAGAAAGGGAGGGATTGAGAGAGAGGAAGGGAGAGAGAGGGAGAGAGAGAGGAAGGAAGGGAGGGGGACTAAGATATACCAGCAGAGGAGGAGGAGGAGTAAGGAGGTAGGTAGGGACACGGGCCGCAGTTCACCTTGAGGGGTGGCAAGCAAGGTAATCATGGGTCAAGTGCAACACTTGCGCAACCTAACTCATTGAGGTATTTCCTTCAGCTCTCCTCCTCCTCCTCCTCCTCCTGCTGGGTCGCTGGAGGAGAACCAGTTAAGGCGCTGGTCGCTGGTGCCACCTCACAAATGGCCGACGTCGGGCCAACATAATGGTATCCAGCCCATGGTCTCAAGGTCCACCCACCTGGCCCTTGACACTCACACCCACGACTCAAAGGCCTTGGTGCGATGCGACAACGTCAACGTTCAGCAGATTTCAATTTCTTTTGCATTCTGTTTCTGGATTATAAAGATGGGTTAACCGGCGTAATAAATAGTTGCAGCGTTCATAGTTACTGCATTTTCCTTGAGCGTTGTGAGTGGGGAAGAATTGAGTAAGAGGAGGAGGAAGAGCAGCAATTATATAAACATGGAGAAGTCGGCCGCCATCTTGCACAAGAAGAGAGCCGCGGGCGCCGCCTGGCCTTGGTCGCTCCTACACCGTCACTCTAACAATTCTTTATTTCATTTACATGAGAAACAAAGTCTCGTGAAGAGCGATTTGTTATTTGCATAAGTTGCAACTTAGAAGTCACACTTGTTCGTGGCGGCTGAGGGCCTCCAAGACTGCCACCACCACCACCACCTCCAGTTGCGACACAACACACTCTCTCAGACACCATTTACAGAGCAGAGTATTGCAACTATGTCTGTTCTTAAGCCACGATGAAGGTTGTGTTTATTTCTGGTGGTGGAGGAGGCGGCCAGCGGCCTGCACACGCCTCCAACACTAACACTGCTTGGAGGCTACGGCTGTGGACGACGCCAGCGCCAGCTGTGGACGACGCCAGCGCCAGCTGTGGACGACGCCGGCGCCAGCTGTGGACGACGCCAGCGCCAGCTGTGGACGACGCCGGCGCCAGCTGTGGAAGACGCCAGCGCCAGCTGTGGACGACGCCGGCGCCAGCTGTGGACGACGCTGGCGCCAGCTGTGGACGACGCCAGCGCCAGCTGTGGACGACGCCAGCGCCAGCTGTGGACGACGCCGGCGCCAGCTGTGGACGACGCCAGCGCCAGCTGTGGACGACGCCGGCGCCAGCTGTGGACGACGCCAGCGCCAGCTGTGGACGACGCCGGCGCCAGCTGTGGACGACGCCAGCGCCAGCTGTGGACGACGCCGGCGCCAGCTGTGGACGACGCCAGCGCCAGCTGTGGACGACGCCGGCGCCAGCTGTGGACGACGCCAGCGCCAGCTGTGGACGACGCCGGCGCCAGCTGTGGACGACGCCAGCGCCAGCTGTGGACGACGCCGGCTGTGGACGACGCCGGCGCCAGCTGTGGACGACGCCAGCGCCAGCTGTGGACGACGCCAGCGCCAGCTGTGGACGACGCCGGCGCCAGCTGTGGACGACGCCGGCGCCAGCTGTGGACGACGCCGGCGCCAGCTGTGGACGACGCCGGCGCCAGCTGTGGACGACGCCGGCGCCAGCTGTGGACGACGCCGGCGCCAGCTGTGGACGACGCTGGCGCCAGCTGTGGACGACGCCGGCGCCAGCTGTGGACGACGCCGGCGCCAGCTGTGGACGACGCCGGCGCCAGCTGTGGACGACGCTGGCGCCAGCTGTGGACGACGCTGGCGCCAGCTGTGGACGACGCCGGCGCCAGCTGTGGACGACGCCGGCGCCAGCTGTGGACGACGCCGGCGCCAGCTGTGGACGACGCCAGCGCCAGCTGTGGACGACGCCGGCGCCAGCTGTGGACGACGCCGGCGCCAGCTGTGGACGACGCCGGCGCCAGCTGTGGACGACGCCGGCGCCAGCTGTGGACGACTCCGGTGCCAGCTGTGGACGACGCCGGCGCCAGCTGTGGACGACTCCGGCGCCAGCTGTGGACGACGCCGGCGCCAGCTGTGGACGACGCCGGCGCCAGCTGTGGACGACGCCGGCGCCAGCTGTGGACGACTCCGGTGCCAGCTGTGGACGACGCCGGCGCCAGCTGTGGACGACTCCGGTGCCAGCTGTGGACGACGCCGGCGCCAGCTGTGAACGACGCCGGCGCCAGCTGTGGACGACGCTGGCGCCAGCTGTGGACGACGCCGGCGCCAGCTGTGGACGACGCCGGCGCCAGCTGTGGACGACTCCGGTGCCAGCTGTGAACGACGCCGGCGCCATCTTGCCGCTCCAGGACCACTTTCCCGCCTCACACCCCGCCGAAAACTTAGAAAGAATACAGTGAATTCTCATTTGAAAGAGTGCTCATAACTCCCAGTGAGTGGTGTATGAGGAGCCAGCGGTATTAGTGAGGCCAGCTGCAGATGAGAGGTGAGGCGTGAGGTAAAGTGAGGGGTGAGGTAAAGTGCCGTGAGAGGTGAGGGGTGAGGTAAAGTGCTGTGAGGGGTGAGGAAGCCAGGGGGAAGCTCGTCCCTGGAATGTCCGGTTGTATCAGGCAACTCAACTGAATTATCTTCCAACAGGACTTGCCATTCCTTCACCCGTCTCTTCCTCCAGCACCCGTCCCACGCCCACACTCTTCCCCCCTTCCACCAGCACCCGTCCCACGCCCACACTCTTCCCCCTTCCACCAGCACCCGTCCCACGCCCACACTCTACCCCCTTCCACCAGCACCCGTCCCACGCCCATACTCTTCCCCCCTTCCTCCAGCACCCGTCCCACGCCCACACTCTTCCCCCTTCCACCAGCACCCGTCCCACGCCCACACTCTACCCCCTTCCACCAGCACCCGTCCCACGCCCACACTCTTCCCCCCTTCCTCCAGCACCCGTCCCACGCCCACACTCTACCCCCCTTCCACCAGCACCCGTCCCACGCCCACACTCTACCCCCCTTCCACCAGCACCCGTCCCACGCCCTCACTCTACCCCCTTCCTCCAGCACCCGTCCCACGCCCACACTCTACCCCCCTTCCACCAGCACCCGTCCCACGCCCACACTCTACCCCAATTCCACCAGCAGCCGTCCCACGCCCACACTCTACCCCCCTTCCACCAGCACCCGTCCCACGCCCACACTCTACCCCCCTTCCACCAGCACCCGTCCCACGCCCACACTGTACCCCCCTTCCTCCAGCACCCGTCCCACGCCCACACTCTACCCCCTTCCACCAGCACCCGTCCCACGCCCACACTCTACCCCCCTTCCACCAGCACCCGTCCCACGCCCACACTCTACCCCCCTTCCATCAGCACCCGTCCCACGCCCACACTCTACCCCCCTTCCATCAGCACCCGTCCCACGCCCACACTCTACCCCCCTTCCTCCAGCACCCGTCCCACGCCCACACTCTACCCCCCTTCCATCAGCACCCGTCCCACGCCCACACTCTACCCCCCTTCCACCAGCACCCGTCCCACGCCCACACTCTTCTCTCTTCCACCAGCACCACCTCATGACAGCCTCCAGGAGTCAGGAAACACCTTTCTAGCAAGTGCGTCTAAGCCGCTAGCAAGTGCGTCTGACCCGCTAGCAGGTGCGTCTAACCCGCTAGCAGGTGCGTCTAAGCCGCTAGCAAGTGCGTCTAAGCCACTAGCAAGTGCGTCTAAGCCGCTAGCAAGTGCGTCTAAGCCGCTAGCAAGTGCGTCTAAGCCGCTAGCAGGTGCGTCTAAGCCGCTAGCAAGTGCGTCTAACCCGCTAGCAAGTGCGTCTAAGCCGCTAGCAAGTGCGTCTAAGCCGCTAGCAAGTGCGTCTAAGCCGCTAGCAAGTGCGTCTAACCCGCTAGCAGGTGCGTCTAAGCCGCTAATATCGGCAGCATTTCCTGGTGACAGACTCGCCCAGTGACGTCAACGTGACGACACTCCAGCGACAAGCAGTGTCGAGAGTCACCACCTCGAGAGTGATGACTTGACGCTGGTGACAGAGCCGGGGTCCTGTCTCGTGCAGCGTCCTCTGTCTCGCACCCTCTGTCATCTGGCCGGGGGGGGGGTGTGTCTCGTGCAGCGTCCCCTGTCTCGCACCCTCTGTCATCTGGCCGGGGGGGGGGGGCTCCAGACGCTCTGTTGCTTATAAGTGATACAGACAGGAACACAGATACATATACTCACACAGGCAGACACACACTCCGAGATTGAGAAAACAAGAAAAACATACAAAAGAAAATGACGGACACAACAAAACTGAAAACACACACACACACACACACACACACACACACACACACACACACACACACACACACACACACACACACACACACACAGGGAGAGAAAGAGAGAGAGAGAGAGAGAGAGAGAGAGAGAGAGAGAGAGAGGGAGAGGGAGAGAGGGAGAGAGGAGAGAGGAGAGAGAGGAGAGAGGGAGAGGGAGAGAGGGAGAGGGAGAGAGGGAGAGAGAGAGAGGGAGAGAGAGAGAGGGAGAGGGAGAGAGAGAGAGAGAGAGAGGGAGAGGGAGAGAGAGAGGGAGAGGGAGAGAGAGAGGGAGAGAGAGAGAGAGAGAGAGAGAGGGAGAGAGAGAGGGAGAGAGAGAGAGGAGAGAGAGAGAGAGAGAGAGAGAGAGAGAGAGAGAGAGAGAGAGAGAGAGAGAGAGAGAGAGAGAGAGAGAGAGAGAGAGAGAGAGAGAGAGAGAGAGAGCATTACAGACACAAATAGATCTGGGGTGCTGAGTGCCCCACTTAGTGTAATATATAAGATAAACAGCAGAGGTGCAAAAAGATAGCCCTTAGTACTCAGTACTCTGGGCTGTACTCAGAGCCCTGGGCCCATCAGTACAAGAAAAGTACCCTGAGGTACTCCACCCTTCAATGGTTCCCACTTGGACCAATTATGCCATCTCCATGTTACCTGTTAAATAGCCATGCCCTAATCCAACTGTGTGTCCGACTGTCCTAATCCAGCTGTTCCGGGTAGATGGGACTCGATAGCCTGGGAAGGCAGCTCATCTAGGGGAAGGAAAACCCCGATTTCAAACCTCCGCTGCCTTACCTTGAGGTTACCTTGAGGGGCTTCTGGGGCTTAGCGTCCCCGCGGCCCAGTCGTTGACCAGGCCTCCTGGTTGCTGGACTGGTCAACCAGGCTGTTGGACGCGGCTGACGTACGAATCACAGCCTGGTTGCGACTGTGAAGCCTTTTGGGAAAGGCTTCAGGAGTCAACCTCGAGGAAAAAATCCGGAGTTGGAGCCCCTAAGGCAGTTCGTCGTTGACTTCGACCTCGTTCTGGCAGGTCCTGTGACGGTGCTGGAACCATGTCTATTGGCGTCTCCTTTCCATTGGATAATTTCAGCAACGTGGAGAGGGAGAGGGGGGACCTGCTGCATGGGTAACAGCTTCTCCATATTGACCTACCCAGGCTTTGCGCCCTGGAAACCAGAGCGCAGCACCATAGTCTCCCGAGACTGAAGGATGCCCCCTACTAATCCAACTGTGAACAGCCTCCCTGACTACTGGGCACCTGCAGCTTTCTAATGACTGGTGAAACACACCATCCAAGGCTGTGTGCTACGGTCAAGATAGTCAGTGTTGCAATCCTTCCCGCTCTCAGCAACCTACAACAACTCATATATAGAGTAAATTGTTTAAACAAAGGCAGTCCTTACAGAATTATTTTAGGAATGATTAATCTCCGTTTTCCATGATATAAATGATATGATATTACACACACAAATCACAATAGCGTGATAAATCAAATGAAATTTGATGCATCACGCTATTGTGATTTCTGTGTGTAATGAAGTAAGGGCGAAGATGTAGAACGGCCTATTGACATAGCTCGGGTGCATGGGGGGAGTTGTGTAAAACCCTGGTTTGTGCCTCGGAGAGGCTGCAGGATCCAGTAAGTTCAGTAGAACTTCTGGTTTCAACTCCTTTTGACCATGTCGTAGCTCAATCGATTAAGGAAGCGTCTGGGATGCTCTCGGACGTAGGTTCGAATCCTCGTCACGGCTCTTGTCGATTTGTTCATTTGATATGAAATGTTCGTAGTAGTAGTAGTAGTAGGAGGAGGAGGTTGTACCAATGAAAACACTACTTTGATTATTATCAGACTCTTCCATAATCAGTTTCTAAGTATGCGGCAGAGAGAGAGAGGAGAGAGCCTTGAGGGGGTCTAGTCAGCGCCACACTAACCAGAGAGGACCTCAGTGGCAGCGGTCAGGGCCAAGCCCGTAGTCTCATCAGCGAGGGACTCAAACCTGTCAAGCCTGGCTACCACACTCAGTGGCGCCACACTTGGAGAACTTGTTACACCTATAGCAGGTGTGCAGACACCCATGTACACAGTCTCACAGGTGGACACAAATGTGCTCACAGGTGTACATTTGGAATACATTGGCACCGTTGTTGAGGCAGCGTGCTCCCGGGGGCCACCAGGCGTGACCAGGGGGACAGGAAGTGATCTACCAACGCCTCGACTCAAAGACGCAGGCGCCCAAATTACAGGAACAGAACCATCAGTCCTCGCTACGATTGTTTCCCCCAGGGTGGTGTGGGAGTATACTCCCCCCAGGGTGGTGTGGGAGTATACTCCCCCCAGGGTGGTGTGGGAGTATACTCACCCCCAGGGTGGTATGGGAGTATACTCACCCCAGGGTGGTGTGGGAGTATACTCACCCCCAGGGTGGTGTGGGAGTATACTCACCCCCCTGGGTGGTGTGGGAGTATACAACCCCCAGGGTGGTGTGGGAGTATACTCACCCCCCTGGGTGGTGTGGGAGTATACAACCCCCAGGGTGGTGTGGGAGTATACTCACCCCCCTGGGTGGTGTGGGAGTATACAACCCCTAGGGTGGTGTGGGAGTATACTCACCCCAGGGTGGTGTGGAAGTATACTCACCCCCAGGGTGGTGTGGGAGTATACTCACCCCCCTGGGTGGTGTGGGAGTATACAACCCCCAGGGTGGTGTGGGAGTATACTCACCCCCCTGGGTGGTGTGGGAGTATACAACCCCCATGGTGGTGTGGGAGTATACTCATCCCCCTGGGTGGTGTGGGAGTATACAACCCCTAGGGTGGTGTGGGAGTATACTCACCCCAGGGTGGTGTGGGAGTATACTCACCCCCAGGGTGGTGTGGGAGTATACTCACCCCCCTGGGTGGTGTGGGAGTATACAACCCCCAGGGTGGTGTGGGAGTATACTCACCCCCCTGGGTGGTGTGGGAGTATACAACCCCCAGGGTGGTGTGGGAGTATACGCACCCCCCTGGGTGGTGTGGGAGTATACAACCCCCAGGGTGGTGTGGGAGTATACTCACCCCCCTGGGTGGTGTGGGAGTATACAACCCCCAGGGT